CAGAACGGGTCCCTATGACCCGTTCCCCCATTCCTAACCAGGCATGTGTCAAAGGCATCTCAAGTACACAAAGCCAGGGTCTGTCTCTCCTTGCGTCTCGAGCCTTTTGGCTTTGGGGCATAGCGCGTTGATGTGTTCTTCGGGTGGGGCCACGCATGGTACTCTTGGTGACTTTCAGTAGGGCCATCCAGGGTCTGAAGTAAGGATTCGGTGTCCAGGACCTCTAGGTTTGGGATCTGCAGATTTCATGGGCTGTGGGCTTATCCTTTTGCCCTGACAATTGCTTGCCATGGCGTGTAGATATGCCAGGGAAGTACCTGCAAAAAGTCAGACGGGATAAAGATTTAAGGGTCAAGCGTGAGGGGTTGCCTCTTCAGTCATTCAACGGTCTCCGCCGGGGGGGGGGGGAGCCAAAGGTTGCAGGGCAGGGGCGATGCCAGGAGTTTGGAAGTAGATCAAAATGCCGCCTGAAGAGACCTTGAGTAATCAAGGCTCAGGATCTAAGGCCGCTGGCTTGAGATTCTATGGCTTGAGGGTTCCGGTTTCAGGTGTGACGCGTTTGGGACTCATATGCCATAGGATCGAATCCGACTAAAGAAGCCAAAGCAAGTACCTGGCCGGAAGTCCGTGGTATCATAGGAACTGCAAGAGGAAGATTATCACGATTCGTAGTTAGTGTTGCTGAATTTGCGTGATGAAAATCTTGAGTCTAGTGATTGTCGCAGCTAGGCTGGCTGCGAACAACACGGCCTAACGCTGATAGAGCCATCATTTCGATTTGCAATAGGAGTTTTCCAGTAGCAAGTCCTGCCGTTCTGAGAAGTGCCATCATCGTCATACCAGCTGACTTCTTCAATGCATAATCCCCGTGGGTCAATCGAAAATCTTATGCAAGGTAGGGGCAGCAACGAAATTTTGTCTACTCCCTAGTGCTTCTTAGAAAGGAGTTGGGGAATGGACTATCATAGGAGTTAATATTCGAAGCTTCTTTGAGCTAGAGTCTAAACTCCTAGTATCCCCCTTGAGAAGCCCTGTACCCCAGTATATGCCCTATTATAATGTAGTACCTTCCATGTCGTTTTCCATTTTCTTTTCTTTTTGATTCTCCATTATGATAATTTCCATTATCCTTTCCTTTATCCCCATATTCACACCCTGCCGGCTCGCCTGGACGCTTGGCGTCGCTGCAGGTGCCTCATGGTAAAAGGGACCAGGGATGCACAGAGCTTCGGGAAGCAAACATGGAAGGGCCTTCTTGAATATTCCGTCTTAACCGCAGATCTGTTTTGCACTTGCATTTACTGGACGCCTCAAAAACATCCTTACAATAATCAACTTAAACCCTACTTCAGCACACTGCAAGTCAGTTGATGGTACAGCGTGCGGTCCCTCCTGATGAAGTTGAACTAATCACAACCCTGGGCTTTAAGTCTAGAAGCAAAGTAAATACAATGCATAGTTTGGGACAGGATGTCTACGGGACATCTTTACCTACCTTCGGCTTGTGCGCAACATGGAGACCGGCTGACTAATTACAGAAGCCTGCGAGAAGAAAGTTGCTTGGTCCGGACTTGCAGCTTTGCAGTTTCCGCTTACCCACACAACTCTTACTGCGTCATACAGCAATAACCTCAACGAAGGTGTCCAAAAGATTGAAACTGCTGCTGGGGCTACCTGAAGTTTAGGGGTTGCAGCCTCAAGTTTAGGTTTTTGGGTCAAACCAGTGGCCCATAGGTGGGTGGGGATCCAACACTTTGATCCCTGGCTGTTCATGTCGTGGTGTGGTTTCTGAGAAGATGGATGTACATGCAAAGGGCTCAGCACCAATGAGAGATACTTTTCAGTGGTTGTCAATGTCAACAAAAGATTCTTGATTGAGCACCGAGACACTAGAGGAGCGACTCTTTTTCATAAAGGCCACAAAAATACTCTCACCGCGGTATTTAATTTGCAAAATGCATTCAACTAAGACCTGCTATCATGAGCTCGAGAGGTAGAAGACGGACAATGGGCAATCCATAGTGTTAGACCAGTCCAAAATCTTCTTGACACGTGCCACCCACGTCCCATGCAACTGGCCAGAGAGGTTTAGGATTTATGCATGTTGCTCAGTTTTTGCCTGGCAAGCAGGTCCTTCTTGGAGAGAGGGGGCAGTAGGTAGTTTCAAATTGGGATTGAATGGGTGTGCTATGTGGAGTGGGATTACTTGATGGCTTCTTGGGGTTATAGATTATATGCCCTAAAACCTTTTTCCTAAAAAAAAACTTCCGCAATGCTCTGACCTCCAGGTTCTAAAGAAAGGAAGTAGTTTCCCAAAATAGGTGGACCCTAATATGGACCCCAAAATACTACAATCCATATTATGGGGACCCCGAGAAAAAGGTACCCCTTGATTTCTAAACTCTAAACCCGAAACAGTAATTCCTGTTTTCTTTTCCATAATCCCTATATGACCCCATATTATCCCTATATGACTCTGATTTTTTGGGACCCTAAACTCTTTGGGACCCTTGATTTTGGGAAACCCTCAGGAATGTAAAGGCTCCGGCGGCAGCTTTGGCCGCCCTGCCTCGCCTGGGACAAGGGTTCTCTTCTCTCGAGTCTTGGGGTTTAGGATTCATGGCTTACGGCTTAGGATTTAGGATCTAGGATTTCAGGCTTAGGGTTTAGGATGTAGGGTTTAGGATTTAGGGTTTAGGATTCAGGGCTTAGGGTTTAGGATTTTCGGTATAGGATCTAGGACTTAGGGTTTAGGATTTAGGGTTTAAGACTTAGGGTTTAGGGTTTAGGAGACAGAGAGGCCAACAAGAAAACTGCCCTGAGGATGTGGGGGCTTCATGGGGCTTCCGTACCTTAGGGGTCCCTAGGTGTGGTTCCAAAAAAAAAATGATCATGGCATTCTGGGGTCGATATTGCTGCGGCATATGCATGGAAACTGCCATATTGTGATCTTGAGCAATCAACATAGGAGATACCACGAAAGTGCAGGGTCCTTACAAAATACTTTGCGGGTTGCTACCAATTGATAAGATCCCCATATACCCCATATTCTATCTGATAAAGGGGGTTCTATCTGATAAAGGGGCACCATACTTCAGGGCGTCGGACTCATCACAGTGGCACCTCTGAAAGCCGGAACAAACTTAGTGTCATCCTACCTTCTAAAACCGACTGATGAATCGTATAGCATAACTTGGAATGCCAGCCTACCCCAGCCACTCCTTCGAAGTACTTGCACGCCCTGTGTTTTTTGTACATATTGTACTTGTAACCCGAACAAAAGTCAAGCAAGTCTGGTGGATGAGAATCATAATGAGGCCCTTCATGAGCGAATGGCTACAGATGGCTACTTCTCGAAAACAACGCGCCGCCGCAGTTTACATGCACTGGCACCATCTCGAGGCTAGCCTCATGGATCCGGTTCAGGGTTTCGGGTTTAGGGATTGGCAAACAAGTTGGCCCAGAGCGCTACGTGTGCCAGCCTGTTTGAGCGTCACAAAGATGGATGCCTTGGCGCTGGCAGGTTAAATCCAACAACCCTGAAGTTCAAACCCGGAATCTGAAGTCCAGCCCGAAGCCCCCAAAAGCCTACATCCAAAGCCCACAAAACAAGGCAAAAGCAGTGGCTGCGGCTTGCTGTTCGCTGCGGGAGCCTCTCCACCTTATGGCTGCAGATTCTGCATGGCGAGCTTTCTTCGGATTTTTTAGGGTTTAGGGTTTAGGGTTCTTTACTCGGGGTAGGTGGGGGCGTCAAGGCAAAGGGGTTAGAGCGGCCAGGGGTCGACTATTCAAGGTTCAGGGCTTTGGGGATAGGGTTCAAGTCTTCCGGAGTAGGGTACCCTAAACCCAAAACCCTAAACTCCTAAACCCAAAGCCCTAAAACCCTGAACCCTAAACCCAAAACCCTGAACCCTAAACCCAAAACAGGCAGGGTTTCGGCTTGAAGTTGCTGAGGACAAGCACATCACGACATGTGGAAGGCTCGCTTCAAGACGGGCGACTGGTCAACCTTCTGAAGTTGCTATGCTTACGAGTATGTGTATATATATATATATGGGCTATATAGGGGTAATCGGAGATTACGAGTATATATAGGGGCTATATAGGGGTGATGGGAAAGAACATGGAAACTACTATAGCAGCTGCAATGGCAAAGATTACAACCTTGAAGCATCTGAAAACTGACTTCCGATGCTCAGGACTTTTCACATACACTACTTGGAGGGTCAGGAGGACTTAGTAAGTAGGTTAATAGCCCCTATAACCCATATAGTAACCCTACTTATTCCCATTATAAACCTACTTACTAAGTCCCCCAAGTAGAGGGACTTTTGGAGTCCTGACTCAAGCCTATCCGGTCCAGAAATCGCTGAAAACCCGTGCCACCCATGACGGTGATATCAGATTTTCGATGCGCGTTGCTCGCTGAAGAGGTCCTCTAGGCTTTAGTTGCGCGCGTTCAGACGGTAAGGTGTCTCAGGAATGATGAGTTGACATTCTACGCTTCATAAGTTTCATCTGTATAGACACATGACCCTAAACCCTAGGATTAATTACGTAGTTTCCGCTATCCACAAAAATAGGACAGACCAACATTATGGTTTAGGGTTTAGGGACCTCAAATCCCAAACCCGAAACTCCTGTGCGTGTTTGGTAATCTGATTCTAGCACTCTGCCAGGTTCATCCTTCAAGGACATCATGAATCAGTCCCACCCAACCAGGAGATATTCGGATACTCGAGGCTATGATAGGGTTTAAGGTTAAAGGTTTCGAGTGTAGGGGTTCAGGGTTAAGTCTGGCCCTCATTGACAGACTAGGTTGCTATCGTTATTGCCATTGTTGCTGTCGTGCTTATCTATATATTGCTGTTACTAGTACTAATACGCCAGTAGCATTTGCATTGCCAGCCGAACCCTTATAGCTGTTGCACTTCCGCAGTTGGTGCCGCTGCCCAAATCGTCTCACCTTGATCCATGCATCACATTTTTCTTCCGTCCGCTCACATCTCTAGCATACCCGTGAAAGGATTGATGACACAGCATCCACAGGAAAGCTCCTTGGATGCTATAACTCTGGCAAATGCTTTCTTGGCACCAGCTTTTGCAATGTACATCGTCAAGACGTCACGCCTGTGGAACGAGGTCCAAGGGTGGTCTCCCACCCATTTTGCCTTCCTAGGTGTCGATGGCCCTGAAAGCTTATTAGATTCCACTCTGGATAGAAGGAAATGAGCAGAACGATCCCAAACTTACCGTGCAAATCACCAAGCCGCAGTCGGTCAATGTCGGCTCTTGCCTTTTTTCTCATGCTGTTGCTTGTAGCATGCCTGGCTTTATCCTTCAGTCTCTCCAATTCCTCTTGTGGGTTCTCGTCAACCCAAACGTGACCGCCTCGCTCTTCCGCGTGGGCTGTCTGAAGCCTCACCTCGTAATCCGCATCATAATCGTTGGACTCGAAGGATGCCCAAAGCTTGTTTTTGATCTTCTCTGGCTGCTGGGCGAAGTCGTCACACAGTTTTCCTTCCTCACTCACCAACATCCCGGTTGGTATCTCGTCGTAGTAGCGGTTACGGTAGTCCAACTCTTGCATTGTGACAGTCATCCAGTCCTTGCAACACTTTTTGTTGCTGCCATCCTCGTTACGTTAGCTAGTTGCTACATAATGCTTCATGGCTCGTTGACCATATGAATGAACACTCAGTGAAGAGATGAGATATACACGTCCCTTCATAAAACTGCAGCTACAGCGGGTGAACTGCAAGCAAACCCCTAAAACCCCAAACCTTAAAACTTAAAAATGCCTCAGACCCGCTGCTGCCATGTGAGAACTGCCGGATTTACAACTTCCACCACTAATTTCTCATGCGTAGTTGGCACCATCCGAGGCACAATGGAACTTATGTAGGACTACAATTTTTGTATTCCTCAAAACCAAAAAAAGTCTTCTGATGACTAAACGAAATAAAGAGAACAGTATACTGGTGTTTTTTTGCTCCTAGTCTGCCAATTTCAGTGTGGGGGCCGAACCCGAACCCAAGGTAGCCTCGTGTATGGTAGGTCACAGAGTGTCCTCCATGTAATCAAAGGCGTCAGACACTGTAGAGGACTTCACTGATATGGCTCGCTCCTGGGAATGAATCAGACCACATACTCCCAACCCAACCTCATCAAGCAACTAGTGATGGGACAATTTTGCGGAACCGAAATTACAAGCACATCATGACTAACAACCCTGCATGGAAATCAGCCTCAGGGAAAGCATTGAACGACGAGAACTAAGAGCTAAGACCATTTTACCTGCCGCACAGTCTAACACGGAAGCCAAAAGATTCCTACAAATGCTGCTGTCCTGTTGAAATAAGCCGAAGGCCAGCGACAAACTAAGACCCCCAAATTTAGGGACTTGAGATTCGGATGCTACAAACCTGGAGTGTAAGGTTCTGGCAACTCTGGACAAGGTCGTCATTCCGCAACCCCCTGGTAAATCTAGACTCCCTCCAAGGTTCAGGGTCCCGATCTGATAACACACACACACACACATCAACACACACACACACACATATCAACTGCCAAACAAGCAGCGCGGATGTAGGGCTCAGGATTTCAGGCCTCATGATAAGGGGTCATGAATTAGGGTTGAGGGAAAGTTAGGGTTAAGGGATGATCGAAAGCTCAAGTTTTCATCTTACCACATTGACCGCTTCAGTCTGTGGCCGAAGCAAAAGACATGTGGAACGGAAAAACATGGCAGCTTCAGATTGTCCTCGCCTGGTAGCGGCTTCAAAGAGCAGCAAACCCTTCAATGCTAAGAAATAGAAATCCGCCAAGCATGCTGCTAACGTGGGATTCTTGCCGCAAGGAGCTAAACAAGCCTTTGCCCACATTGTTGCAAAGTGTGCGCTCTGTCGCGTAGCGCAATTGCAGTGGCAGTTTTCCAAAACAAAAGCCAAAGTTTTGAACCCCGAAAGCTAGGTCATGAACTTACCATTATTAACTGTATTACTATAACTCTGAATAGTATTACTAGTATTACTATGATTACCGGTATTACCCACACGAAAAGCTCCTGAACTTTGGTAGGGCAGTCCATGAAGACGCTTCGTTTCGCCATCGTCCTCTCCACATAGACTTTACTAGGGCTATTCCTTAGGAGAACCCCCTCTGTTAATCTGGTATGGTAGGAATATAACCTCAACCCCGAAAGTATGTAGAATTATGGGGGCCCAGGGTTTAAGGGTTTAGGTCATACAGGGTATATAAGGTTGTATAGGGTTATGTATAGGATTTAGGGTTCAGGCCGGCTGAATTTCTGTGAGGCATTCAAGTCCCGACTGAGGGTTTGGATTCTTCGGGGCCTCTTTAATGTAGGGGCCTCATTGACTAATGGCGAATCACATGAAAGTGTCATGGAAACTGAAATGGAAACCAGGTTTCTATATGGGTGTTGGATTCTGCGTAACAGCTCTTAGGGGCTTCGGGGGATACATTGTACTACAACTGATAAGCCTTGCTCAGTGCTGAATGTTTTTGTCTACAGCCGGGGGTTGCAGGTAGCCCCTGTTGCACCTGGTCACTTTAACGTTGTCCTCCAGGAAGCTACAACTCTGGATTCTGAACGTCACAACTTACAGGTGTACTGGGTATCGGCTGGCAAATCGCAAAGTTGTGACAACAAAAACTAGCACAAAGCTAGTGCGGAACTAGCGCCAGGACCCCTCTACAATACTGCCGTCGTATCCATTAAAAAGGCCTAAACCCTAAACAGTAGTTTCCATTTTCTTTTCCATTCTCCCAATATTACCCAATATAACCCCAATATAGTCCCTACTTATTCCATATGGGTGGTTGTCAAAATTATGGTCCCTTGTTGGGTATCCTAAATATTAGGCGCCGTATTATAATAGGGACCCGAAAAGGGACCATAATTTTGACAACCACCCATGAACTACTCAATTTTCTAACTGCAAGCAAAAGGCACCTTCGAAGCTCTCAAAGGCTGCAGGGCAAGGCAGCTTCAGCTTCAAGCTTCTTGACATTTCAGGGTTTAGGGTTTAGGGTTTAGAGTTTAGGGTTTAGGGGTAAGAGTTTAGGGTTTAGGGTTTAGAGTTTAGGGTTTAGGGTTTAGAGTTGAGGGTTTAGGTTAAAGATTTACTGCAAATTCACACGTAAATACAATGATAGCCTTCCCAGAGGGTCCAGGTACCTAATGATTGGGTACTTGGGTTTTGGGTAATAGTAATTATAGTACAGGTCTTGGGTAAGTATATGATTACAAGGTACTTGGACCCTTAGGGCTTGGGATGTTTTGAAAAAGGCCTTACTTTCCTAGCACCTAGCTATCGCTACTCTAGCGCCAACCTGGGGATGTCCAACATCCTCCTGGGTCCCGCCGTAGACCGAACACTAGAGATGGTGCCCTCGAAAGAATCATGGCCACGTCTGCTTTCATTCTCTAACCGCTCTTTTTGACATCCTCCCACGTGGTCTTTGGGGGGTATATACGGAGATTAAGGGTCCCCTGTTAAGGGTACCTATAATAAGGATTCCCCCCATGTTAACCGCACAGTCCCCAGTATATACTATGTTGGGAAACTACGGATTATTGGGAGGTTCCATGTTTTACCGTAAACCCTAAACCCTGATGCCCGCTCCTGCTCTTTTTTTGATCTGCGGAAGTTTTTCGGCATAGTGAAGGAACCGAAGTCCACATCTGCTGCGAATTCCAGAAATGCATTTCCGCCGCCTGCGGAATGATGTGAGCTATAGTCTAAACTCCCAGTATCCCCCTTAATAACCCTATAATACTCCCCTACAGAATCCCCAATATAACCCCCTTTACGGAGCTTAGCTTATAGCTCATACAAGCCTATGAAGGCCAAGGGCGAAGAGCTTTTTAGGGTTCAGAGTCTTCAAAGTTTAGGTTTTGAAAGCTCATTAAGATTAATTGGGATCTCTTTTTGGGCCAAAGAGATCCCAACATTCACGAATCCCCAGGGTTCAGGGCTTGAGGTCTCCAACCCAACAGAGCTTTGAACCAAAGCGGGGTTCTCAAATCTAACAAGAATTGGACGCCCTGCAGAGAAAGTTGTTCTCAGTACTACAGTAGCATTGCGGATGTTATGTGGCTACTAGTTGTAATATCCATTTTCCTTGTCCATTCCTTCATGTATGGGGCGACTATATTATGGGGGATTGTATGAATACATATATACATACACATATGTCACATGTATATCTGCATATAGGTCGCCAGAAATATGCAGGGTTTAGTGCAAATTGACACTGTGAATCCTTCTCTAAAATTCACTGCGGCTACAAGTTGCATAGAAGCATTTCACGGCCATGTGTGAGATCCAGGGTACTTCACATGAGCCCCACGCAATCGAAAATCCACAGTGTGAAAGATTTCTTATGTGTAGAAACGCCAACGAGATTGATTGCTGGCGGTTGAAGAAACAGGTTTAGTATAAGGGACCTGCCCGGGTGTTCGGCAATTAATTAGAGAGGGTACTGAACAAGTCGTCTAGAAACCTTCCGACAACATATGTTCAAGTCCCGTGTGGGACTCCTACTCTCCTACGACACCTACTACATTCATCTACTTGGGTTTCGGTGTTTCCCTCACCCCAAATCCCAATCCCTAGCCCCGAAACCCTAAACTCTAATCCCTAAACCCTACATATGTTATATAGGTCCTACCTCAAGACATCCCAAACCTGCGCGTTATACTCGGCATCTATGATTGCTAGACTAACTCGCAGCTGCAATGGGTGGTTGGCTAGTAGGGTTAAAGGGGTTCCTCAAGGCTATATAATGGTTGCATAGGGTTTAGGAATATCACACAATAATGGAAAATCAATTACGACATGGATAATACTGTTTCATATTTAGGGCGGCAGTCAAATAAAAGGTATCCTAAGCCCCGAAACTCCAAACTCTATAGCTCCTTGGAAGAGCAGCATCAGATTCATCTTCTGGTTCTGAGGTTCTCAGAGTAGAAGAGGTACCCGCAGGTCCGTGTGTTGCGGGTGAAATTATGCACGTCTAAAATGTGATTAAGAAAGTGTGATTTCTTACAAGATAAACCACATCGCACCGAGGCTTTTAGCTGTTTCCGAATCTGGGCCAAAACCACACACCTGCGCCACTCCGGCAAAATTATTCAAGCTCAACATGTTGACATGTGAAGCTGGGGTCCAGGCCTCGTTTTAGAACGAAACATGGGGCCCCTACCACCTACCAAGAGTGTTTTTGAACGTCCTTAATCTTGAGGCGACCGAACAGGTCCGAGCCACCGGCAGCGCAGTCATAGTCATCGTCCCTGTGATAATGAAATGCCGAACCCTCTTTCTTCCTGGCATTCCCAACAGGCTGTTGGTGTGATCCTGTCTTCTTCATCTACTTCTGCTTCTTGCTGTTGTGATGGTGGAGTCACTGGTCTGCCACCCCCCCCCTGGCAAGAACGCAACGAGAAGGGGATATCAAGCTCTCGTTGTGGGGGAGGGGGCATAGTACAGGATTGAATGAAACTGCCCTAAGCTTCATAGACCCTAAGCGCGAATGCATGCTGAGAGTCCTTTCCTGCCGAAGCCAGCACCTTTGCAAGGAGGGAGCCCATCCTCAGATCAACTTAGATGTTTCAATCATGAGCAAACCACCAAAGTCGGTAACATTGTTGCCTTCTGACTGTTAAATAAACGGCTTTTGGGCCAAAAGTTCGCCCAATCCCCCCTTTGGAAGCCGCCAGGTGTTAAGGACACCGCCACTCTATTACAGACTGTCAAGGCTTTTTCGGTGTTGGGGTGTCCTTAGGGCTGCTGGGAAGGCGACTAGTGGCTGTTTTTAAGCGTGTCCGCATCTAAAAATACATATGGTACTTTCCCAAAATAGGGGGAACCCAATATAAACCTCCAAAATATTCTAATCCTTATTATGGGGACCCCCAAAATGGTACCCCTAACTTGGGGAAAACCTCATATGCACAGATCTGAATATAAAGCAGCTATGGGGGCCACTACTTGAAGGGACTACGGAGACCCACTGCCAGATCAAATTGTGCAACGTTGACCTTGACAACAACGAGTGACAGGGCTGCCTTACTATGTTCAGAAACGGGAAAGCGTGGACGACTCAAGCTTTTGCAGCCTGACCTGGAGACCTAGAGGGCAAACAGCGTCCGACTCTCCACGACAGTGCTACAGCCTACACCTTAACCGTAAGCCCTGTGTCGTTGCTTAGGTTCTCCCTTAGAGTCCCGAGACTGATTGCCAGGGTTAGCACAACTACCACGTCCATGGACTGCTGTAGCTGCAACAACTCAAATCAAGGCAAAACCGTCATGGTCTAAACTTCTAGTCTCCCCCTTAAGTAACCCCTGCAATAAACCCCTACACAGCTCACATGGGTCTGTCACGCAAAATTGCTTTTCCTGACTTAATCAGATCTATTCATCTTTAGGGCAGGTGACGGCTGGCTTGTCAGTCCCCCATTAGGGTTTAGGATCCTTAGCACTTGTTTTGCCAAACTTGGGGCCCTTAACCTGCGCGGAAAACTGATCGCCAAACACCTCCAAACCTTGGAAGCCCATCAAATATGCCCTATAATCCCTATATAACCCCATTATAGTAGTTTCCATGTTCTTTTCCATTATTCCCTATACATAACCCCAATATCCACCCTAAACCCAGAGTGAGAAAGGCCGTTTACCAGCATGCCAAGCGGCGCAGCCAGTCCCCTGGCGAAGCGGCCTTTCTCACTCTGGGTTTAAGGGTTTAGGGTTTAGGGTTTTGGGTTTAGGGTGGATATTGGGGGAAATGTGGAAACTACTATAATGGGGTTATATAGGGATTATAGGGTATATATGGGGGGTATATATATGGGGATTAATGGAAACGAAAATGGAAACTACTATAATGGGGGTATATAGGGATTATAGGGTATATATGGGGAGTTATATATATGGGGATTAATGGAAAAGAAAATGAAAACTATCATAATGGGTTGTATAGGTTTACGGTTTAGGGCATTCAGAAACAACTTCTCAACCTTTTTCACCCGTTGAACGCGGTGCTTGCCCGAATTCAAGAGTTCTTTTTGACAGTCCCTGAACCGTAACTATACTAAGCCTGATAATACGTTGGTGTGCAGAAGTGGGATTCCCATTTCTGAATACACCCATATGGGCCCAAATTCTTAGTCTCTGAAGAAAAAATTGAAGCTGTTTCCGTCGGCGAAAGCAGGCCTTCGAGACTGTCAAACTTGATTTCTTGGCGGCTGCCTTTTTCGCAATGGTCGCAGACGCCTTCTTCATGGCGCTGCCATGCCCCTTTGCTGCAGGCTTCTTCATGGCTGCACTGGGCAAGAAGCGAGTGATTGTAGCTGATGTTGTCATGATCTTGCTTCTGAACTACTCCCCAGGAGCCATTGAACTGTTTTCATTACGAATGCAATTGTCCGTGTAGAGTTTCCTGCATGAAGATCACAGCCAACTCCGCGCTCGAGACTTGAGGGCAACGAGACAACTTGACAGGAAAATGACAGGTTGGACACCCATACATAAGGCCTATATGGAGATAAGAATAGGTTACACAAGGGCTATGTGAGGCTTGTACAGGGCAGACTGCCCACCTGCAAACTCCTGCCTAAAGCCTATGATGATATAGTAATTTCCATGTTCTCTTCCCTATATGATCCCTATATATGACCCTGCATACCCCCATATAACCCAAGCATGCATTCTCAAACAGCGCGCCCTTGCGTAATCCCAATGAAAAGACCAAGGTCAAGCCTCCAATCTGACTTTCTGGCGGTCACAGGGCATTAGGGTTTAGGGTATTAGAGTATAGGGTTTAGGGTATGTCTTGGGATTACTTATCTTGATTTTATGGGGGTATACAGGGAAACGGAAAAGACAATGGAAACTACTTCAAGCTATAACAAGGCGGCGGGCAATGACATGTTGGAAGACATGAAATAGCACGCGGGATTCCATGAGGACAACTACAAGGATCCATTCCTCCATCCTCCGAACACCAGTATGCTGAGAGGCAAATTTCGTCTATTTGTGAGCTGAAGATACATGCGCAAATCATACCACACAAGACGCCGCACTTCCTGATCCTTCCACTTCTATGAAATAGGAACCGTTCCTGCTGGGCAGGAATCGCACTCAAGTCATTTTGAAGGCCCTGGATTGAGCGGAGGTGTCCAAGGCGTTTCCAGCGGGGTTCCCAAATGACTGATTGCCACAGAAAACGCTGCAAATTACATAGCCCAAGTAAGCGCAAAGAGCAACGCCTCTCCAGTCTTTTGGTCCCCATGGAGCGCTAGTAAGTAGGTGCTTAACGCGCATAAGTAGGGTTGCTATGTGGGTTATAGGGCTTAGTAGCCTACTTCCCGTGTTCCCTAGCCTTAATCCTAGTGACCCACAGTAATTTCCATTGTATTTTCCATTCTTAGTAAGTCCTCCTGACCCTTCACGTACCCCTGAACCCTAAACCCTAAGCCCTAAACCTACAGGCCCCAGGTTTGAGGCTCGAGCTTGGAGGCGGCCGAACCTGTGGATGAGCGTCAAACATGGGCCTGAATCTAAACTCCTTACAGAGGGGTTATAGTGTGGATTAGATAGAGAACCATTATAGGAGTTTATTGAGGGGGATACTAGGGGGCTATGGTTCATCTCTGCATGAGAGTATTCCAACGCATGCCTAATACTATAAAGGCCTTGTAGAGGCATCGGAGATGTGTTGCATAGCTGCTGATTTCATACTCTTGTCGTTCAACTTTGAAATATTTTTCATGTCTATAGCACTGAAACAGTGCATGATAGGACCAATAGGAGCCCCATGGCCTGTGCCCAACATGTACTGCGCGGTGAAGGATAACATGACACAGGAGGGCTTCCTCAGAGAGGGGATTTAGGGTTTAGGGGGTTTAGGGATAATGGAAAAGAAGATGGAAACCACTATAGTATGTTGGTGTTATACATATAGGGTTATGAGAAGGGGGGGGTTCTCGGGTTTAGGGTTTAGGGTTAGCAATTTATGCCTGTCAGTCTGTCAGTAGAAGCACACAGAATTTCTACAGTATGCCGGTATGCCCATCAAAGCCTGGACTGCCGCGTCATGATCTCCTCATACCCCCTTGAAACCACCACATCCATGGACAATCTCCATACATACCCAGACCCCCTAAAGGCTCCAAAAATGGAACCCCCTAATAATCCCCTGGTTTCCCCAATGTAGTAATGGGTTCATATTCGGGGGGTTCCATTTTCTGGATCTTTAAAGGGTGTCTGGGTAATTAGGCCCGGCAGAAGGAGAACCGGCACACTTTGCTGAGGAGGAAGCGCAGGAATCTGGTCCAACTAATGCCTGTCGAGCTTCAAGGCAGGCAGGGGTTCGCCTTAAACTCCCTATCCGGCTGTATGGAAACGATAAAGATTTGAGGAGACATACGGGTTTCCAAAAATTAGGGCTGCCTTTTTGGGGATCCGTATAAAACGGACTCTAGTATATTGGGGTCTATATTGGGGTACCCTAATTTGGGAAACTACCACATGTGTGGTGTTAGCTATGTTTAGGTAGGGGATGTGTGTAGTTGCGATCTTCAGAGCCTGTAGCAAGCATTAGGGATTTAGTATGTGAAAAGTCCTTCAAGTACTTGAAAAGTCTTCCCGAATGAAACAGGCAGTTGTGCAAACTGTACGCCGTGAAAATGAAGGGTGGCTAGGTGAGATTGCCCAAGTAACAACGATAGAATTACGATGCTGAACGTATGCATGAGGTACGTATATATGCAGGGGCCAGCCAGAGTCTTGATACCTGGTGCGGGTCGCAAGCGGTGATGCCCCGAACTTCGCATTTGGAAAGCTAAAGCCTCGAACGTGATGCCCACACAGGGACCTAAATAATTCCCCACATAATTTTGAGGCACCCTTTGCCATAAGTAGACTAGGGATCTAAGACCATAACGCTGGCAATTATGTAGGCTTCTACAGTAGCGCCTCCACCTGGCATCCTCAGGAACGACATTGCTTGAGGTGTCAGGATTCTTGAGCACAGCTACCATTTTTGTCTGGGTTGGTGGTGGTGCTGAATCAGAATTTGGAGGCGCACGGGGACTTAGTAAATAGGTTAAGAATGGAGATAACGAGGTTACTACATGGATTATGGGGGTCATGGGTATACTTACTAAGTGCCCCTGACCCTCAAAGCACTAGAATTCCCAACCCGGTATGTGCAGCATTAATCCTATAGCGCACCGAGCTGCTTACCCAACAGAATCTACACCCAAAACCCTTTAAACCTTAAACCCT